AGCCAAGTGAACTCTATGGAGGTCTTCAGGATAAAACCAATTTCGTTTTATTCCAGCCTTCCACAGCAAGCTTTCCCTATGCTTGCATATTTTATTTTACACTGTTATTTAATTCCATCTCATACTTGGGTCTGATCTCATCTCATCAACGAAACTGTCAAGTTACTGAAAGCAGGGTATTTGATTTACTCTCCTGGTGTCCTTTAAAATACCTAGCTCATCACCAGCCCATCCTGGGCTCAAAAGTAACGGTTTTATTAAACCAGAGGTTGGCCTGCTGGCCTGCTTTTGTAAACCATGTTTTATTGGACACAGCCGTATCTAGTCACTTGTCAGCCGGCTGTGGCTACTACCAAGCTACAACGACCGAGTTGAATACACATAACAGAGGCCATGTGGTTTACAAAAACCTAAAGTATTGACTATCTGGCCTTTTAAAGAAAACTTTTGCTGACCCTTCCTTAAACTGCTTACTCTTCTTTAGAAATAGCTAAAGAATGCAGCACATATATAATAAGCATTGTTTTTTTTTTACTGTTCTGAGTAAATAAGCTTAGTTTTTTTTCTTTTTAAATGCTGGTTTGCAGAGCAAATCAACAATTTTCCATGGGACGGTTTCTTACCGTGGCAGCTCAGACCTTCTCGTCCTGACCACTTCTGGACGCCGGAGATGCAGCGTCTCATAACCGATGATCTAACAGGTTTTGTTGGCATTGATGTGACATGTAATTTAATGTACCACCACATCTGTGAATGCTTTTAATTGTTTTAAATAATGCTTAGCCCTTTTATAAAAACATCACAGTTCTCTTAGTGTTCGGGAAGGTGGTTAATGGAAACTAAGAGTTGCTGTTTCACAATCAGAAGAACAAACACAGTGGGATTAAGAGTAATGGTTCGAGTCCGGCCAAAGACTAAATGGCCTTGATGTGATGACAGCACAACTCTGGGCTAGGGTGGCACATTCCACTCCAAGGCCACACGGTGAGCCATCCACAGTTTGCAGATTGTCTGCTTCTGAGGAACAGCCTTAGAACTTGGGACGGTGGTTTGGCCTGATTTGATACATGCCCTGGAAGACGACCAGTGCATTCTGTGTGGGCCATTTGGATATGAATAGACATCAATTTTTATTGCTTCCCCAATCTTGCATGAGGCCAAATCTACACTTTTACAAAGAACCTGTGGCCATAAACACAATCCCAAGCTACATCCGAGAAGCCAAGTAACCGGGGTAAAGCAAGGCTACGTGGTAGCTCTACGTACGGCCGTTCTCTAGCAGATGCTGGGATTCTGTGAAACCAGGAAGACGCAGACAGGAGGATGCGGTGGTGTGTGGCGAACATGCACTTCTACCCCAGGGGCTTGCTGATTTATTCTCTGCTTCCCTAACAGTTCTTATATTAGAGTAGGAAAAGGATGAGGCCTCTAACAAGAAGTCAGAAGAGCAACTTCTACCTTAACTTGCCAATATCGAGGGTTACGATAGTGGCCTCGCACATTCAATTTCATAAACATTGGTGGAGAACTGGACACTTCGGACATTCCAACATTTCAACGTGCCTTCAAGTGTATGGAAAGAGTACATGTTTTCATCAGCCTGGTTTTATTTCCGAATCAGACGTGGGCACACTAATAGTCAAGGTCAGAGGTTCTCAAAAGGGGGTGATTTTGTTTACCTCCCAACAAGAGCACATTTGGCAAAGTCTAGAGGTATTTTCAGTTATCACAGCTGGGGTGGTGTTACTGGCATGCAGTGGGGAGAGGCTGGGAATGCTGATCTGCATGCTCCAGGCACCCACAGCAGGGAGTTATCCAACCCCAAACATCAATAATGCAGAAGCTGAGACCTTGCTGCAGGTGTTGTTTATACCACAACTCACCCCAAGAAAAGGAGCAAGATGGGTCATTTGTCATTCTCTTTGGTCACACCCCTTGGTATAGCAGTTGGCTGACTGAAAATGCGCATGATATTCTTTGTGAGATTAAATGCTATAAAAGTCCGTTTGTCTGCCACCTGAGAGGCAGTCTGATGGGGAGAATACCACACACACACACACACACACACACACACACAAAAAGATCATACTCTCATCCGAAACAAATTAATCAATTAAACGTGTGTGTAGTAACGTCAGTGTTCACAAAGACCGCATGGGCAGGTTGAATGTGAAACTCTTGCACTGTTTCCAACCCAAATGGGCAGACAAAAAAGTGACGTCAGAAACAATTCAGGTCTCACAAGATTCTTTACCCCAAATGGGAACGGGACTTTCAAAAGGATTCAAATCCCTAAGTTTATTTGTAAACCGAAAGCTCCTAGCATCACATCTCTATCCTTGCTATCAATAGCTTAATTATTACCTATGATACAAACCCCCCAAATGAGGTGTCCCTTAAAATTGCAATGTTCAAAGTTATTTTTTTTATGACAAAGACTAAAAATCTAGAAATATCTAATTATAATAATAAGTCTTGACAGGAAAATTATTGTACTTCAAATGCAGACCATCACACATTTTTCTCTAATATGTGCAATTTTATATCAGTGTAACTGAAAAGCATTTTCTGTCTCAGTTCACATTTTTTATGTAATCGGAAGTAACTCGGACTGAGAAACCCGGAAAACTGTCGACCACCTCTGTGAAAAGAGATTCCCTCCCACCAGGTTGGCGAGGGTGCCCCGGGTTGGTGGAGGGGCCCAAGTCGAGCCCAAGTTGCCGAATCAAAGGGGCCTGTTCCCCTTTCTAGTCCTGGCTCACGTTCTCCAACGCCAGCCTGCTGTCTGCATTTGACCTCCAGACGACCATGACTTTTTCAATTCAAAAGTGCAGCTTTGCTATAAATAAGACGGTATAGCTGCCCAGGCTATAAATAACTAAAAATTATACGCTTTCTCCAGTCTGTTTGTACTAGCGCTGCAAAACCCTTCACTTGCTGTGATTGAAGAGTCTCTGTAGGTAGATAAGAAAACATAACTGCCAAAATCACACTTCACCCTCTGAGAAGAGTGTCAGGGTCCCAAACACACTACAAACAGAGGGAGAAAATTACTGGGAAAGAGGATATTACAAAAAATTTTCAATGTCTTTCTGGAGGAATTGAGGACGCAAGTACTTGAAGAAAATAAAGTTATCAAGTGACAGTGTCCATTTCCATTAATTAATGACAAAGAGAATACACAATTATTTTTATATGCCATAATAATATAAAATAGAACTTAAAGTAAAAAATATATTGTTTTGCAAGAGGATGAGAAAGACATTCAATTCATTGAGGCGTGCTATAGTCATGGCATTTACAAAAAGTGTTTTTTAATATATTTCATCTGATTTCTACTACCTTCTATATTCCTGAAATGTGCATCTGAACCTCAAATATAATTTTTCCTAATCTAGAAAACAATGTCGGAACCAACCACTTGCCCATGTGGAATATGGAGCACTGCCAGAATAGCATTTCGGTTTCAAACCTGGCCCTGCCACCTTTGATGGCTGGGGAAGAAAAGTCACTCAGCTCTTAAAGCCTCATGTTCCCATGTGCACAAAGGAAGTGAGGTAAATGCCCACAGAGTATTCCTGAGAAAAATAAATGACCCATGAAAATGCTGAGTGAAACCCAACACGCCCCACAGATCGATGTCTTATCAAACTGACAGTGTCACTTCTGCAGTTTTCCCCAGTCCTTCTCTGTCTATTCACTCCCGAGACTTTCCATGCTCTTAGAAAGAATGCTGTTTCACAATCATAGGAAATACACTGGTTGTGACAGTAAAAAACCACATCCTTCAGAAGTTATACCTAATTTGAATGCATTTGAATCTTATGGAGGCCATTAAAAAACTTTTCTATGATAGTATCTTTTGTAAATTACATAGCTCTCCAACTATAATTGATTTTTTTTCTTAAAAAAAGATAATCAGTCTCATCAATTTTGAGACTAGATTTTTTTTTCAGGATAACACAGGAAAATGCTAATTTTCTGGTTATTACCGGAGGGAAAAGGGGTTGGGGAGGCAGAACAGGGTGGAGGGGGGTCTATATGCTGATGGAATGAGGCAACTTGGTGAACACACAATACTGTATACAGATGATGTGTTATAGAACTGGGCGCCTGAAACCTATATAATTTTATTAACCAATGTTACCACAATAAAACAAACAAACAAAAAATGCTAATTTTCATGATATCTAAGCTACAACGGAAGGTCGGTGCCTTCTTCCAGCAGTCACAAACATGAATAGTGCATACCTTCCCTAACCTAACACTGGATAGATCCATTTCTGGATGTCATCTAAATTTAAAAATGAGTAGCTGTGAGTCTGGCACCACACTTTTAAACCAAGGGAGACTGGTATGCCAGCTGCAATCATTACGAAATACACACATTGTACGGCAGGCTGACATCATACTTCCTCAGAGGAAGCTCTTTCTCTACATCTTAATGATCGTGTCCCACTAGTGTGCACTCGGAGACAGGTGGCAGAGACGGTTCTGCATTCTGAAGTGGCCTTTCACCTCCTTAAGGGTGACAGCTGTCTTAGGACACACACCTAAAGCCAGTGCATGTGCCTTAAGTCCCCTCAGTACAGTGTATGAACATGAAATATTTTTTCCCCTGGGAAGCAAGTCACTTCTAAAAATAGATTCTTGTTAAACTGTGGCATCTGTGAGTCGTAGGAAATCAAACAGCAATGCCAAATAAAAAACAATAATCATGTTGTATATACCGTCGTTGACAGAACCATGCTAACTAAAAGGAAACTGACTGGAAATAGAAGCAGCTTAATCGAGGCCCTTAGCTGGACGTCCGAAGTTGTCTGGCAAAATCAGACGTAATTATGAGCAAGGAAATGGAAACAGACATCTTATTAAAGACAGGTAGGTAGGTGCTCAAGAAACACAGAATCATGCACAGAAGGTGAGGATGCTGGACTTAAGATCCAGCCATGCAATGTACTCCTCCCCTCCCCGCTGCCCCCATGGGATTTACAACATACGTTTAACAGCATCTTGGGGAAGAAGCTCCAGGGTAGTCTTGAGTAAACTTTGGGACACTATGGAGAAAATAAAAGAACATAACTAAAAACAAAAACAGAAACATGGGAATGATGGCTGAAACTCACTCACACAATTCCACTAACCAAAGGGAGAAACAAAAACAGAATCATGGAATTCTATACAAAAGCTAGGCAAATGTCCTGTGTTTTGGCCCCAGCATGCAACCAAAGTCAACATATAAGCATAAGATACATTTCCACAAGAACATCTTAGAATGCTGGATATTAGAATGCTGGTTCTTGGGTGTCTCTGATAGGACACCCAAGTAGCCTGGGGAAGCATTTCTTGCTCCCATTCTCCCTCCTTAGCGTCCAGCATCACCAATCCCCTCCCCTCCGTTCTCCACGGAAACTCGACTGTTTCACCTGCTCACAGGGCAGCCGGCTTCTGGCTCTCAGCTCTGGCTCGATGTTGAGCCTTTACTCTTCACTGATCTGCCCATCTCCCTAAGTGACCTGCAGCCTCTCAGGTTTGCTACTTGATAAATCATTCTGTAACCCACTTCCCCTAAAACAAAGTGCTGCCCGGCTTATCCATTACATCTTTGTTGAGAGCAGGCACCTTTTACAAATCTCAGCAAAAAAGTATGTCATCCAGGGCACCTCCAGAGATGGCACCTGACCCGTGGGTCCACTGCTCGTTCCAGGCCTGGCCCAAACCAAACTGATCAAAAGGAGAGGGTGTGTGTAGGGGCTGCTACAGGTTTATTTAAAAAAAAATTGGGGGGTTGTTTCCAACACTTGAGGCAAATTCATCACTGCTAATAATTTTTTTAAAAAAACCTTTTATATGTTACATGCACCCGTATTTACACTCCAAGAAAAAAATTCACCTCAGGGAAAATGCCAGAAAATTTCCCCCAGCAGCCACACCAGTCAGAATCCCTTTAACAAACGCCCTTTGTTCAAGAGGGTCCAGGCAAGAGAGCCCCCATTGTGCTCCTTGTTACCTGACCTAATTAACTTCTTTGTTTGAAACTGAAGAAAGGAGTTCTTTGAGCTAGGAGGGGCAACCACCCAATCAGAGCCAGGAAGAGATGCCTGAGAGTTACCCATCCTACACCTGTTCTCCCACAGGGCCGAAGTGGAGTCATCTCCTACACCAGAGACGCGCAGGAACTTTCCATCCGATTCCACTTGGATGCGGGGCTTCACAATAGAAGGTCTTAATGGTGCAGGTCCTGTTTTTGTGTAGCCTAATCCTATGATCACACCGGAAAACCATTTATATAATCCCTAAAAGTCCCGGGCAGGAAATGGGGACTCACCCTTCCAAAGACCAAGGAGAAACGGCAGGAGTCTCTCCAACAAAACAATGAACAACTGTTGAATTTAATCTTTCATTGATCAAGGTGAGTAAGCATTTCTTGAGCAGTTAAAGCTTCTGACTCATGAACACAAAGTAAATAAAACGAAACTGGGAATTTAACCTGGAAGGCTATTGGGAACTAAAGTCCTGTATGTCTGGGGTATTACTTTTTGAGGACTACCTCTGTGGAAGAAGTTTCAACTTGCATTTAAGTCATCATGACTTCATTTATTTATCCCCCAGAGTCATGGAAAGTTTCAAGTTCAATGTTTCTTCCCCAACTCCCTAAATCATATTTCATGGAAGGTTTCCAATGTTAAGGCAAGAGTTTTCTTTTACTTCCAAGAGAAGACATGAGCACTTTGCAAATGTCCATGTGGGAGCTCTGGGGCCCCAGGGACACTCCCCGGACCACGGCATTTGCCGTGCGTGTGTGTGCTCAATGCAGACCCAGGCCCTTGCCACCACAATTAACATCCCACGTTATGAAACACATCCCAAGTACTCATCATAGCAAATATGCCTTACCAATGCAACCGAATCATCGTCAGCCTGGCTTCCAGTGGTAAACCTTATTTGCACATGTAGTGCACATGCACAGACCCGAACACACATGTACATAGACAAACACATATGTATACATTTGCAGAACAGCTGAGAAGACAAAACAGCAACTCCAGCGTGGCTTAAAGAGAAACACTCAATAGTCCCAGAAATTGCAAGATGTGTGCACCACACCAGTCAAAGAACACGCCCACGGCCATGCTTGAGTAGAGAGAGACGGAGATGTGAGCTCATGGGAAACATACCGGAGGAGATGCTGGCAGTTAGAGCGGCTGACAGGAATGGGGTTAGTGGTAGCACAGACCCGTCCCCAAGAACCAGGAAAACCAATCTGTTACAGGGAGCAGAGTCAGTGGCGAGAAAGACGAAAGGTGGCCAGGCTCGAGGAAGGTCCACTTACTGACGCTGCCACACACGGCCATGCAGTACTCCTCTGTGTCAAAGTTGTTTCTGTTGCCGCCACATCCGCCGTAAAAGAACGGGGCGCACTTCCCTTCGGTCACATCAAAGTACCAGCGGGAGATCATTGCTCGGCATGGCCCCGTCTCGGCTTGTTCAGAGCACACCTCTAATCAGAGGAGACGTGGGGAACCACATTTAGCATGAAAAGGTACTGGCTCACGGTTCATGTACACGTTTACTTCTGTAACGCATTAGTTCTCCCAGCGGTGACTTGCGCTGGGTTTGTAAGGCAACATCTGCCAAACATTCACTGAGGAATTTAATGACCTAGCGGGACTTGAGAATTACCTCCGAAACAAAGCAACGCATTCATACCTGGTTTAATGAGTTTAGCTCTCAGAGGCAATAAGAGGATTCCAGCTAGAGGTGAACAGATATTTCAGCTGTTTTTAGATCAATATTAAATGTCTCAAGGTACCTGCACATCAAAACATGTCTTCACTATGAAAAAATAAACTTTTTAAAAAAATAACTTCAAATTACTTAAAGGTAATTTGTGTCTGGTTAGGAGACACACACAAAAAAAATTTCTCGCAAATATCTGGTTCTCTTTAATAAATGAATGCCTTGACTTGAAGTACAAATAATTACACATATTTTGAAGGTGATCCAGAAGTCAAATGACATTATGATACATTGTTGTTTTCCTGTACCAAGTGTGAAACATAATGGCACATTCATTTTATATTATATTCATTTTATTTTTCTTGTGTCTCTTTCTAAATAGCTATGAAACCCTTTGTTAGAGCTAATTTGTAGAGCTCCAATCAACAACAAAAAGCATCCAGAACTCTAAGTTCATTTACATGCCAACTATGTAAATACAAAGAACTACACGATGGTTCCAGCAAGCCACATGTCTTGCTGGAATCTCCAGTCTTAATTCATCAATCAAAAAAAAAAAAGCTAAAAGCGACAGTCTCCATTTGTGGAATGTTTCATGGGCACCTGTGACATTATTGTGGCTGCTAAACTCCTGACCTGAAATGTCCCCAAGCAGTTTCCTGACTTTGGTGTGTGTGGGCATTGTGGGCAATAGCGATCAATCCCATGGTGTGAGGTCAGAGCTGGTATAAGTGTATGACAATCTAATGTCAAATACATACTGTATTGAGGAATAGACATAGGTGAGCCTGGAAGAACAGGGGTAAAAATGTGTCCCTGTCACTTTGGAACCTCTCAAGGAGGGTCACACTGTCCAGCTGGTTCTGATCTGCTGACGTGGAGCAGTGGATCCAGCGGCCCCGTACCAGAGTGAGACCAGACTGGCAAGAATGGGTATCTCCTTTTTTCCCTCCAGTTATCAGCATCACTGATCAACCATTAATCTGGTGGTTTCCCATCACTTTCCTCCTGACTGTGGCTAGGACACAAACTTCCTAGGGCAGTTCAGCTGATTTCAGGGTGCACTTTGAGTGAAATGAATTACTTTCCATTTCTCACTCATGTTTCTATGTCTACTCTACTGTAGGGCACACAAGTGTCTGATCTCTCGGACCTCTTCTCTAACTCTTTATGGTTTTGGAAAAATTATCCACATAGTTAAAAACAAACTTTGCTTAGTCTGGGAGAGGTGGAGGGATGGACGTGGGGTCAGCACTGGTGCAGTGTTATGCTAGTACCTTTTTTTACACAAGGTCTTGGTAAGTAGAGAAGGCCAATGCCTCTCTGCAGGGAGGAAAAGCAGCACACACTTGGGCTGAAGAAGTGTGAGTGGTCACTGCCAACTTCCTAGTTGTGATGCTGCACTGCAGATGGGAAATTCTCTATCTGCAGACAGAGACCAGCCAGGGTAATTCTTTCACTGCAGATGAATCTACAAGCATCTCCCCCTCAAATGGAAAAAAGAACCCCGCTCATATTAAAAAACATATAAGAGGAATGCTAGTAGTTCAATTTGCATTAGAATTCTAATCTTGTCTCTTGCCTGAATCTCTTGTTGCTTCAGCATAAAGGGCTATCAATCTCAGTTTAAGAAACTTTCATTTAAATTACCTTCTGGCAATGGGAAAATACCAGGAAATCTATCCAATCAAGATTTTAACTAAGTAGAAGAGTTTCAAAGCATTGAGTCCTGAAATATACAATTTATAAGCTGCATGAAAAAAAATTCAGGAAAAAAAATCTCAAGAGAGTTTAAGTGCTTACATTTATGTTACTTCTTTTTAATGGAAAAATTTCTTCCTAATCTACAAAAATCACTAAAAAACTCAGTGAAAATGTGTCTCATTTTGATTACTGTAACCACACAGTGGAAACTTATTTATAACATCACCCATTAACTGTAGAGCATGTAAAGTTAGACCTTTTATTACTGAACAAAAACTGAACTGAAACAAAAGTCATCGGAAAATTAAAACTGCATTTCCCTTTTCACATCTTCATCCTCTTCTCAAAACCTAAAATAATAAATGAAAACTCACGGTTTGAGATCATTTGCTAAATTTATTTTTGAATCCTAATTCACCTTTATTTCTATCCAGAGTAAACGTTGTGTATAATAAAGAAGGAAAAAATTTGCCCAGAACAACAGAAGCAGGGATATTTCTCAGAAAGAATGTTTAAAGTTAGCTGGAAACATAGCCCCACACTTTCATGGACACCTAAGAAACAATAATCTTTGTTTATTCATATTTAACTCTTAAACTTTTAAGAGCCCAAATACGATTCCTAATAGTCATCTATGTAAATTCTGCTGTCAGAGAAGGCTTATTTCTTCTTTCTAACAGCTCAGTTCACCCTTCGAGACAAAAGACCATTTAATAAACTGAAATGCTAGGGTACACAAAGCAGAATGAGAGTTTATGTGCTGAAATAAAGTCCCTATGCATTTTTAGATCTTTGTAAGGTAGGTCCTTGCTGAGATTTGTGCTGTTTAAACACTACGTTCCACTTTGTGGAAATCATTATTATCCAAACACAAGCCAGAAGTGGAGCTAGGGCTTCCTACATTACATAAAGTGATTATGTAATTCACTGTCCAAAAAAATAATGCTTAAGCACAAAAAATTAACTCTGAATGGATTTGAAATTGAAGCAATTTTTTTTGTGGACAACCAAAATTAGAATGCTAATTTTACACTTCAAAAAAATTCAGCATTAAGACAGCTGTGAAAGTGGGAAAAATGGAGAAAATCCTCATGATGTTCAAATATACAATAGTTATAATGTCATTTTAAACAGCAAAGTCAACAGATTAGCAAATAATTAGCTTTAAATAAAACACTAGCTGAGGCATAATTTTAGAATAATGTAAAGCTTATTATTATTTCATTTTTAATAACTGAATTTTAATTATTCTCAGACCATAAGAATATCCGTAAAACAAAAGCTTGTATTACATGAAATGCATGCACAAAGCTTAAATGTGTAAATTTTGAAAAAGCAACCACTTGGATAATCCAACTAATTAATCAAACTAGAGTTATTTACAGAATGCTAGGAATTGTATATTCTCATATTCTGAAAAAACAAAAAAAATCATGACGCATTGTTTCTCCAAAGGCTGTAAGAATCTATGCACCATTAAATCTCATACATAGTATGAACTTATCTATGCTCCTTGATTTAAAATTATGTATTTTGCAAGTTTAAAGTAGGAAGGGCAAACGAGAGAAGACAAACACAGATTGATCTTATAATAAGTCAGCCTTTTGGTTTCAGCAATAAAATAAAATGAAAATGACCAGTACTGAAATCTTCTAAATATGCTTATTTAAATATATCAAATAGATGTTTATATATCTAGCTACTTAGTACACCCATTAAAAATGAAAACAAATGACCTCAATACCATTTATTTCAACTTTAGTGTTTAGCTTGATTAAGTTATTGCTACAATTCTAACAGTGCTATAGGGTGGAAACTTCAGGAGCTTAAGTTACTAGAACCAATCTTACAGACCTTGTATTCTGTTGAAGAATAAGTAGTCAAATCCGGGTTTGCTTCTTATGGATGAAAATTTTAAAAAGTTAATGTACTAAAAAACTAGTTATTTTTTGAGAATTTTTCTTCTTCACAATAGTAGATGCATGTACTTTTAATAGAAAAGAGAATTTATAATGTGTTTGCAAATATGATAAACTAGTCATTAAAAAAACACATCCAACAGAAAATTCCTCTATACATGACCAGGGCAATAAATTGTCAGATATTTATTACCTACTAATCAATCATATTTTACTAAAAACAGGCATGTAAAACCAAACAAGCAAGCTTCAACTACAGGTCTATGGGAAATCTCACAGAAGCCTCAAACATGGGCTGAAATATATAAACAAATGATGGGAACAGCTGTGCTTGTAATGAAATCACCGACTCAGTGCCACTGACGGGTGCTAATTTGTCACGGAAGTCTCTGGAAGATATGCACAGTTGACTTGTTTTTTACTGAGTTCTGTTGATTCTCTCAGGCTATCCAATACATCTGTCACTCCAATTATACCTGACCTGATTCTCCCATCCTTCCCCGGTGAGAGGTTATTTATAAAACGCCACCTGAGGAGATGTACATGTAAAGTATTTAGACTACTAATCAGTACTCCGGTGTTGGCGAGCACTCCCCCAAATCATTACCATGACTTCCTGACCCTTTTGTTTCCTGTTTGTTGTGGGAATAAACTTGTTTCTTCTCTAAGCTGTGTGGCTAGTCTGAAGCCCAACACAGTGTTACAAGAAGCTCTAAACTTAGAATAAGACAGGATGTCATGCCCTTTGTTGGAAGTAAAAGAAAGTCATTTTTCTTACTGACTCTGAGGCTGGGAGTGCTCGGAAACGGGTTGTCTCCAGAAAAAGAAAACACCCTGATTTATATTGTTTGCCAATTTCCGTGGTGTCAATACTCCCACCATTGGTATATCAAGCTACCAGTGGTTGTGGCTCACAAAAGTCTTCACTATTTTAATAATCGGCTTTTATAGGTGAGCAGGAGTAGGCTGTACCACACCAATGAGAGGAAACGAGGCACAGGTCACACTAGTAACAATTACGTACGTAGGGAAATTCTCAGAGTTTTCTAATTTGCTTGGTCTTGGCAGTTGAATCTTTATGAAATTCCTTGGTGAGCTGAAATACCAGGATTCTTTCACACTTGGTGACATGTGATAA